AACTCAATGTACGGTTGACATGATAGGTGGTTGTGCATCTTTAGGCGATAACAGGGTGACCAATGTGAACACGGAACAATCAAGGTAAATTATGTCTGTTGACTACTGTATCAAATAATTCGATTAAACATAAAATTGGTGTGCTTTTTATTTTTTTTTTTCATTCAAGGTTTAGTCACAGAAATGTTTTGAAATGTTTTTTAAACTTTGCACTACATTTCTTAAAATGTGCTTTCGTGATCTCATTTTCTACAAAGGTTCTTTTAGCTCCTTCAAGATATATTTTGTAGTTTCCCAACCTTGCACGTCAAATATCAAGGCGCTTCCTCACAACCCCCACAGCAGTTGAAGGAAAGATTTTGACCCGTGATATTTTTATTATAGTGCGCCCAACCAGCGTTTACCCCGAGAGCAGTCGCACACTGACGGAACTCAATATACGGTTAACATGATAGATGGTTTTGCATCTATTGGTGATAACAGCGTGATCAATGTGAACACGGAACAATCAAGGTAAATTATGTCTGTTGACTGCAATATCAAGTAATTCGGTTTAGCTTAAAATTGGTGAGCATCGTTTTACAGACTGAGGGAGGCGAAGGTTCATTGTTGCTGATTGTTGCTGTTTTCGCATAAGTCGTTATCCAGCAGAATGTTATTGAGATAGTTGAAACGAGCGTGTGTATTGAAAGAAAATTAAATTTAAAGTAAAGTGACTACATCATAACGAACTTTAACGGCATTCATTCCCAAAGGAGACTTCTGATTACAACCACCTTGACTTGTAAGGGAAGTACCGTCTTGTTTTTTTTCTCTTTTTTTTTTTTCATTCAAGGGTTAGTCACAAAAATGTTTTGAAAATTCTTCTTTTTAACTTAATTTAATTAACTATTTAATTTTAATTAATTTAACATAATTTATATTGCGCTAATTCCACTAATTGACCAAAACGCTTTGCATTACATTAATTAACATGTGTATTCGTGATCTCAATTTCTACAAAGATTCTTTTAGCTTCAGCAAGATATATTTTGTAGTTTCCCAAACTTGCACGTCAAATATCAAGGCGCTTCCTCACAACCCCCACAGCAGTTGAAGGAAAGATTTTGACCCGTGATATTTTTATTATAGTGCCCTTCCACAGCGGTTGCCCCAACAGCGGTTGCCCCAACAGCGGTTGCCCCAACAGCGGTTGCCCCAACAGCGGTTGCCCCAACAGCGGTTGCCCCAACAGCGGTCGCTCACTGGTGGAACTAAATATACAGTTGACATGAAGGGTGGTTTTGCATCTATAGGCAATAACAGCGTGATCATTGTGAACACGGAACAATCAAGGTAAATTATGTCTGTTGACTACTGTCAAATAATTCGAGGTAACATAAAATTGGTGAGCTTCGTTTCACAGACTGAGGGAGACGAAGGTTCATCGTTGCTATTTTCGCTTTTATGTCGCGATGCGAACCGTGCAGAAGTCGTCATCTACAATCAGGGACGAACAGCTGAAGAGTGATGGTTTCTGGTTTTTTGTTGTTGTTGTTGTTGTTGTTGTTGTTGTTGTTGTTGTTGTGGTTTTTTTTTTTTTTTACCTACTTTAGGACTCAGTTACTTTTAAACGTTGTTGTGACAGTCACACTTAGGGTATTACACGTGTTAATGATATGATTCTACAGTAGGACCCTTCGCAACGAATAGAAACTTTTGTCTTGCGGGTCGGAAACCAAAAGTCAACTTAAGTGGAAGCGTCCGTATTGTTTTCTGTCCGTAATTAGAGGCCTTCACACTCTGGATTTTTGTAAATGATTGGAACGGGAAGGTTACGGCTGATCTTTTTTAAATGAAAGTTCCAGTTAAAGGTCAGAACCAGCTCTATCAGTTCTTAAAAAAGAAGACTTGAAACCGACCTTAGTTTCAGAATGATTTTCACAGTGGGAAAACAAGAAGGCGTGGATATTGCATATTATCATCCAACTACACTTAGACGAGTACAAATAACGCCGTAGATGAGTACAAATATCACGCTGTATTTNTACGGGCTCGTCAAAATACGGTGCAACTCGTAAAAATACTCAGCGATACTACACAACAAAACGTCTAATAAGATATATTTATCCAAATGTGCTTCGTAGAATACAAATAACGCGCGAGACGAGTACAAATATCACGCGACATTTGTAGTCCAGAAATATCCGCTAAATTCTCCCGCACTGAAATAACAATTTGGTCTGTTGGGTAATAACTATCTTATTAAACGTTTTGTTGTGTAGTATCGCTGAGTATTTTTACTCGTTTTTTGTATTTTGACTCGCCTTACGGGCTCGTCAAAATACGGCACAACTTCTTAAAAACACTCAGCGATACTACACAACAAAACGTCCAATAAGATAAAAATACTCAGTGATATTACACAACATATATGTCTAACATATATGCATATATGTCTAATAACATATTTATTATCGAAATGTGCTAGGTAGAGTACAAATAACGTGCAAGACAAGTACAAATATCACACGATATTTGTACCCCATAAATATCTTCGGAATTCGCCCGCACTGAAGTAACAATTTGGCGTGTTGGATAATAAATCTCTTATAAGAAGCTGTGTAGTATCGCTGAGTATTTTTACTCGTTGTTTGTATTTTGACTCGCCCTACGGGCTCGTCAAAATACGGCACAACTTGTTAAAATAGTCAGCGATACTACACAACAAAACGTCTAATAAGATAGATTTATTGCGATCTTCCTACTAAATTCTTATAGTATGTCGTTCTTCCTATGCAAGTCGGCAATTTCAATCTGCTAAAATCAAACAAATACTCTTTATATTTCTCCTAGAACTCCAAGCACTGCTGGAAGCAGCAATAGTCAGTTTAATTTTCCAGGAGATCAGGGGAATACAGATCCTCATAACCCTGAAACAGGGGCACCCTTAGGGGAATCAGATTCCTAAGGACCCCCTGTGACATCGCTCCCTTCTTTGGAAGAATCTTTCGGGGATGAAGCTCGTGGAGCTGTCAGCAGGCATCTCGAAACGGAGTTTTTTTTTTTTCCAGTAAAAGAGTGTTTCTTGCTTATGGAGAGTAGTTAGCTGTGGTAAACTGAAAGCAAAGTTTGAAATCATAAGTCGAAATGAAAAGGCAATTTCAAGTAAGAGAAAGACCGTTTTTGAAAATAAGTAAAGTAAAATCCTTTATTTAAAATATGGTCAGAGTAAAAACATTATATGCTTAAAGAGTTCTGATTTCCCTAAATGTGGGGTCAGATTTTGCCTTTGAATAGAATTGTGTAAAACCACATGAATCATTAAAGTAGTCCGAGACACAATGTTAAACGATAAAAATACAACTATATTTAATCTGAAATATCGTATGGGTTTACTTATATTGGTGTCGGGGAAAGGAATGGAAATATTATATTACTTTAAACCATTCGATACAAAAATTCTAAAAAGGCAGGTTGATTACTTCTTATTTCTTTTGGAAGTCTGATCTTAAAGGTAAAGTTTGGTCACGTTTTCCTCGTTATGATCGTGAAGTTGATATGGAAACAGTTGTTCAGTTTCTACGGTAATTAGAACTCGTGAGTGTCTTGGGAAAGCTATGTTATTAATTAAGTTAATTTGTTAGTCCAGGTAAAGAAAATCTCTCTGGTAAAAAGTCACGTTCGACACCTCGTTTTTAGAGGTGACTTAAGGTGTAAACATGTGATACCCCTCATGTTTCGCAATTAGGTAGTTATTATGACTGGCACTTAGCAACTTGGGGGCGGTACCTGTGAACGCCCCTTCTCTAACTGTTGTGATCACGATGTTGTTATGTAACGGTCATCTAAGGTAATTTTCTCTTAAAATACCATTTCAGGTGTGAATAATATTCTGTCAATAGGTTAGTTATGACTTTTATATTACCAATCTGGTTTCTCTTCTGGCCGATCTCAACTGTAAGGATAAGAAATTTACGGTAGTAAATGATTTTGTAACTGCGCAAATAACTCGAAGGCGCATAGTCCTAGCAAGCACGAATTGTCATACGTAATCTAACAGGATTCGCTGGCTGAGATGGAACGATGACGATACAAGAAGATTGACAGCTTAGTGGTGTCACCTTTATAAACGGTGACCCTTGCTTTCCTCTTTAGATAGAAGGTACTCCCCGTTGTAACAACTTGAGAAGAAAATAGATTAAAGAAGAGTCAACCAAACAAAGAACGAGTGTTAGAGATTTTACTTCTAACGAGCTATTCCACGTTACGGCTCCTCCATATCGAACAGAATTTTTCATAAAATAGGGAAAAATCGTGGAACGACAGCCTTTAATGTCCTCAAGTTAATGTATTTACATTCGGCGGAACTAAACTGTAAGTGGCAGTGACAAAGAATGTAAATATTTTCCTATTGGTGTGTTAGCACGTGGGCCGTTATGGCGTTAATTGAGTCTTTTGTTGTCTGGTGTATTTAAGGTTTGATATTTGTAATGTATTCATCTCAGCTCTCGAACTTTTCTAGTTTTGTGTTAAAATGCCGTCCGATCCAGAAATTGATCTCGCCAAAACCTTATCCGATCTAAAGGAGGTGCTTCGCGATGGTTTTGCATCCCTCAAGAGAGAATTGTCTGAAGAGCACGAATCAGCGATAAAAAGACTCAAATCCACCCCTTCATCAGCACCGAAATTTAAGAAGAAAAGCAACGAGAAGCAGTTTGAGGCGAATACTCAAGTCCTCGATCACGTTCAGTCGGCCTCCTCATTCCTCCAATCTACCCCACGACAAGTTGAAAAGGCCCCTTGAAGAACTTAAAGAAGCTGAGAAAAAGCTCGCTCATAGGAATAAGCTTATCTTAATCGCCGATTCCTCTGAAGAAGCTTGGGAAGTGGTCAATGAATACGAGCACAGAGACCTTGCTGACAACAGAGACGATGACAAACGCATAAGACAGGCCGAGGCAAGAGCATATCAGAAGCGCCGTCGAACTCAAGCGCAGAGAAAAACAGCTTCTACTTCCCTGAGGTCCCCATATCCAGCGATTTCGTCCGTTCCCTTCGACAGTCCTACGGTTTTCCATTCTCCTGGCCCTTTTCTCCAAACTCCAACATTTCCCGCCACTGCCTCGCAGAATACCTCCACTACTACCTGGTCTAGAAGCTCGTCCGCCCTGCGAGGATCCTGTTTTGCCTGCGGAAAGTTTGGCCATCAGAGAGGAACTCACTTTCTGGAAAGACAATATTAGGTTTATTAACGGTAGGCCTATCGGACAGCGCTTTTCCACTGCTCGCACTATTGTTTATTCCGACGCGAGTGATTTAGACGCTGGGGGGGGGGGGGGTTCATTAAAGGGCGCGATGGCCTCATTTGCCACCTTCCATAGTCCCCTTCAGAGGTGGGCCGCAGTTCTACCTGGCGTGAGCTGTAAGCGGTCTACATTTGCCTCTCTAGTTTCTCCAGATCTTTAGCCGGTTGCGCTGTCCAGTGGTTTACGGATAATTGTAACATCCCTTCCATTATTTCCAATGGTAGTATGAAGCTGGACCTCCACGAACTCGCCATGTCCATCTTTGGATTAGCTCTCCGGAACACTATTGATTGCAAGTAGACTGGGTCCCTAGATCCCTCAACGAGCAAACGCGATGACTGAAGGGTTTTCCTTCACTTTTTCAGCCATGTGGGTGGTATTTGGGGCCCTCACTCTGTCGATCGGTTTGCTAATTCCCACAATTTTAAGCTTACTAGGTTCTATTCACGCTATTGAAACCCTGGTTGTGAAGGTGTCGACGCTTTTTACTACGACTTAACTGGGTTGGGGAGAATAATTGGCTAGTACCCCCAGTGTCCCTTATTCCTCGGGTTATCAAGCATCTTGCGCATTGCAAAGCTGCCGGTACCCTTATCGTACCCCAATGGGTTTCGTCCTCGTTCTGGCCCATGCTCTTCGGGATCGAGTCTCCCTACCATTCCCTTGTCAAGGGCATCATTACTTTCACTGACGTTGCTGGGATTTTTATTAGGGGCTCCTCCGAATCCATTTTTGATGGGTCTAAGTTCAAGTCTTGTGTACTAGCAGTTCATTTATCCGCTTGTTAGCTTACGATTATCTCCCTGATTTGTTATTTCATTTTCACGCCATTGTAACCCCGTTGCACCTCTTATCTTCACCTCGTTTTATGTCCGATTAAATTATATTATGATTGCTGTAATTTGTGTCCCTCTTTCTTCATGTTTACAGTTTCTCATTGGAGAATAATTTCCCATTGACGTTGTTTTCTTGACCTCGCGTAGGTCGGCTCTATCTCGTAGTTCAGTATGTTTGTAGTCTCGGTGGCCATGCGTGCCCCTAGTCTCGGTGACTAGTGATTACCTCCGTGGCTGCCTATGCTTATTAGTCTCGGTGACTTGTGCAAGCCTCGGTGGCGGTGCTATTAGTAGTCCTGTTTTATATTTTTGTGTGCCTCGGTGGCTGTGTGTTTTTCTCGTTTCGAGCACTTGTGTACATTTAGTGGCCGTTCATGTTTGTACTATCCGTATCTGCATGCCTTGTGTAGTTTTCATACTATTCCTACCGTTTTTGACTCGGTTCTAATCTGTAGGATCGTTTCTAGTATATCCCTTTTCCGTGGGCCTCCAACCAATTTTCTGGCTACAGTTCCTTCTTTTTCCGTTTTTGTCTTCCTAGACGTTTTTCCAGTCCCATGTGGTCCGAGGTTACCCACGTTCAAGATCCTTCCTTGCGTCTCTTAGCAAACAAGTTACCCCAAGTGGTCGTTGGCTCCAGAGCAGATAGTACAACTGCTACGTATCTTTGCGGTTTTAAGCGCTGGGGTTCTTGGGCCTCTAGGTTCCCTGAAATCAACGTCTCGCCAGCATCCCCGGCTTTCGTGTCCTTGTATTTACTCAGTGTCCTTCAAGCTTCTACTTCTCCAGCTCCGGTCCAAACGGCCTTGTATAGCATTCGGTGGGCACATGATCTTACTGGTTTCCAGTCACCAACGAGCCACACACTTCCGCAGAAAGTTTTGGAATCTGCCCGACGGAGATTGTCGCATCAGAAATCCAAGAAGTCTCCGATGACTACACAAATTCTCCTTAAGTTCCTCCAGAGCCTGGATGGCTATTTAGTCGATACGAGATTTATGGCCATGGCACTCCTCGCTTACGCAGGGTTCTTGAAGTTTGATGAGCTTTCAAACCGAAGACTCAAGGACGTAATTCCACATTCAACAAACTTTGAACTATTTATTGAAAGTAGCAAGACCGATCAGTATCGTGAGGGTGCCGTCGTTCAAATTGTCAAAACCAGTACTGACCTCTGTCCCTGGGCTAACCTTGTCAAATACTTGTCCCAAGCTAAGCTCGTTCTCCCTTCATCTCTTAATGGCGGCGATGACTTCCTGTTTGGGAACATACAGACTAAATCCGGAACCCAATTTGTCCGTGCCGGATCCAAGATTTCATACACCAGATGTCGTGAGATTTCAGTGTCGAAAAAGTTTGCTGACGTAGACCTAGACCGTGCATCCTTTTCCTGGCACAGCTTTAGAAGTGGCGGTGCGTCTTCCGCTGCTAACGGCGGTATTTCTGACAGAATGTTGAAGAGACACGGTAGATGGCGTTCGGAAAACGTTAAAGATGGTTATGTTGCAGACTCGTTAGAAAGCCGTTTAGCGGTTTCTATTTGCTTAGGCCTGTAATTCCCGTTCTTTGTATTCTCAGCAGCTCCAAGTTCGAGCTGCACACCCACTCTTGTGTATGAGTCGTGAATTTAAATAGGAAATGTATTTGCATTCGGCGGAACTAAACTGTAAGTGGCAGTAAAGAAGAATGTAAATATTTTCCTATTGGTATGTTAGCACGTGGGCCGTGATGGCGTTAATTGAGGCTTTTGTTGTATGGTGTATTTTAAGGTTTGACATTTGTAATGTATTCATCTCAACTCTCGAACTTTCCTAGTTTTATGTTGAGTTTTATCTTGCATGTAATTAAGCTGTTTTACCTCTAACCCCTAGAGGTCGGTGCGCCCGCATTTGGATGGGGAATACGTTCCCATTTTTCCTATTGGGGTTTTGGGTTTTCGTATCAGGCGGCGGCACACGTTTTAGCCTGAGAGGCGATGACTAGTTGTTTATTACTCTCTGTAACTTTGTCGGACGGCATTAAATACTCGGGCTCCAAGTTCGAGCTGCACACCCACTCTTGTGTATGAGTCGTGAATTTTAATAGGAAGTGAAATACTGTGTAGGTTGTTACATAATGGTCTTACACGTTATTCCATAGTTGGGAAAAGTGATTCTTGATGTACTATTTTTGACAAAATAAAGGTTCCAAGTGCAATATAAAATCAATGAAATTTATCAGTGCCCTAAAATTTAGTTTTCCCTCACAATTTGATTTTTTTTTCTGACTTATTGAGTTTTAAGTGCCACTGGTACATTGAACATGGTTTTCCATAGTATTCAATGGTAAGCAGTTGTTATTTAACTATTTTGGTGATACTTACCAGTTGATAAATTACTTAAATTAATTTTAGTTTTCTCAAACACATCAGCATATAGATATTATATAATCAGATAGTTTTGATAATAAATGTTTTTGGTCTGACCAGGGTTGACTGAGAATCACGGTCAGTAAACAAATATGATCATGGTCAGATACCATGGTTACCATTATTGTCAACCATAGTTGACTATGATTGACACTGAAAAACCACGGCACCATAGTCAACCTGATGCCGGGACACGATATTGAAAAGTGATTTATCTGCTAAGATTTCGCAATCTGAATCGTCCTTGTATGAGAATAAGTACTCATATTGATGTTTATGAGCCCTTAGAAGATGACTAAAGGCTTTTTATTGCAAAACTCAACGACATATTTTTTTGTTAGCTTCCGGCCGTCATATTTATACCCCTCAGAGTGACATGGCGTCTTCATGAAAAGCCTTATAAATTTGAGTAAAACATTTCTTCGAATATCTCCAGCACGAAACATCACACAGACACGAATCTTTGCGGACTGTTTGAATATTCATCTTATTTTATCTCTTTGATTCTCAACGTTATTTGTTGTCTGGTTTTGATGATGGCGTGACAATGAAAACCGGCAATTAGTTATGATTCCTAATTACAATTAAGTATCCTTGTCATCATCACATTATCATTATTATTATTATTATTGCTATTATTATTTGTTACCATTTAATAAAGGGTTGAGTGTCAATTGGTCGCCATATTCTTGAGTCATCTTCTCTTGTGGAACGGAGTACTTAAAAATATGCGGGATGCAGCAGCCATATGCAGTCTTAACTGCCTAAATATTTTTTTGTATGCCATTGAGGTGTGGGCAGGTGCCTATGAGTGTATATATCTCGCGCAAAATGATAAATTTTGTGGGCGCCCACAGAAGTATGGTTATACGAGCGAGTTTAGACCAATTTCAGAAATTTTTCAGAGAAAGTGAAATACAGATTCATTTATTGATTGATTTACCTATGGTTTGTTTAATTAATTGATGGATTAATCTTCAGCTAGTTACAAAGAATTTATTCATTCTTTTCCTATCATTACAAATTAAAGGAGATTTTCTGAAATTTTGAGTAATATATTATTTCATTTCCACAGATGACAGCTTTTCACCGAGCCATAGAGAAAGGCCACGAGGGGATTGCCAAGTTACTGCTGGAGAAAAAATTAGCAGACGTCCGCGCTACTGATCATGTAAGACGACAGAGATGTATTATTGAACATCATCCAATATGCAATAATTTCAATTTACCCTTTACTCCCGAGATCTGATCGTTAATTCTACCTAATTTAGGCTGTTACACATTTCTTTGTAAATTAATCATAAGAATTTCAAATTGGTGTTAGATCAAGAAAACAACTTTTACCTGATGAGTTTGAGTATTCTCATTACCTGTTTCCTGGATGGTGTAAGGATATTATTGGGAAAAGTTACATGTTGATGACTTTCGGGGGTTCAAAGGTTAAACTTGATCTGCTTGGCAATGTGAGAAATGCAATGGTCTAAAGGTTAGCTTACCTCTGGGGTTGACAGGTGAAGGTTACAGTGTCCTAGCTAAGCGATTTTCTTGGTTACTTGTCATTTTGAATCCTGCATGGTCATTTCATACTCAGTCGATTTGTACCTAGTTAAGACCATTCGTACTCAATCAGTTTAGTCATTTCGTACCCATACTGAAATAATTTGAGTATATCAACAAGGTTGAAATGGTAAATTGGCCACCGTTGCGATTATAAAAGCTGATGTTTCGAGCGTTAGCCCTTCGTCGGAGCGAATAGAGGAATTGTGGGTTGTGTGTGCTTTTAAAGGCAGAAAAAGGAGCTACTTGATTGGTGGGAACATGGCAGCGTTTTTCTCGTTGCCATGTTGCCTCTGCTTAACTTGCAAGTAACTGCTGCAGCGAGTTGTGTGGGTTGTGTGTACTTTTAAAGGCAGAAAAGGAGCTACGTGATTGGTGGGAACATGGCAACGTTTTTCTCGTTGCTATGTTGCCTCTGCTTAACCAGCAAGTAACTGCTGCAGCAAAAGAAAGAAACTGATGGGAAATTGCTAGTTATTTTTCTTCCCATTTTCTTCTTTAGCATCGCCGCACCGCCCTTCATATTGCCACTTCAAGTGAAAACCAAAACATTGGTGTAATAGAGTTAGTTCTCAGATGTCAAGGTGTAGAGGTCGATGCCTTAGATGGGGTGAGAAGTTACAAAATTGGTAGACTTAAACAAATGGTGTAAAAAAATTATTCAATCTTAGATAAGTGTACAGCTACAACAGGAATGTTTTAAGAGTAAGAAGGAATTTAGAATGATTTCAAATCCAAGTTGATTCATATTTCTCTTCTCTTTATTTATCTGCAGCGAAGTGAAATACAAATAACACTGGCTTGAAATTATTTTGACTTACAATGGGCTTAAGCTAAACATATATAAATTATATGTATTAATGGCATCATTCATATGCGTTTAAAACTTTTAATCAGTTCTCCTCTCTAACTGCTACACGTTTCCATGTATAATAATATACATGAAAAAATTTCTCAGTTCTGATTGGTTAAGATGAATGCAGTCAGTCAGTTAGTTCAGTGCAGAAGAGAGTTAATTCAGTGCAGAAGAGGGTTAATTCAGTGCAAAGAAAGAAACAAACCAGACATTCTGATTGGTCAGAATGATTGGTCAATGTCAAGGTCAATGTCAAGGTCAATGTCAAGGTCAATGTCACTTGCAGGGTTTGAATAAATTATTTTTGCACGTGATGCGCGCGCTTTTCTTCTGCGTAGTTATGAGAATCTACCTCGTATTTTTTCATGTATATTATTAATAGATAATCACATGATTTTATCGTGCAATTTTGAATAAATAAGCACTTGTAAATTTTTTCAAAGACCACAAATTGCACTCGCCATACGGGCTCATGCAATTTTGTTAGTCTTTGAAAAAATTTACTCGTGCTTATTTATTCCAAATTGCACGCGAAATCATGTGATTACCTATACAAATTAGTTACGAGAATCTGGAATTTGGAATCTGTTTGAGTATTCTCATTACCTGTTTGCTGGATTAGGAATGGTTATCGTAGGGAAAAGTTTTTTTCAATCACTTCTGGGAGTAAAAACGTCATTAAGGTGTAACCCCTCAATACCAAAGAGTTACTAGCAACTAAAAAAGCTTAAACAAGCGCTCTTCTCAGTACAAAGGGAAATGTGTAGACAATGGTGTGTAGAGTACATGTACTGATGGTAGGGTGTTTAAGGGTTCATTACATTTATTTTCACTTCATTTCAGTTTGGCAATACTCCATTGAAGCTTGCAGCAGAAAAAGGTCACTGTGAAACTGTGGAGCTACTGATAGCAAAGGGGGCTGATGTAAACAGAGCAGACAAGGTTATTATAAGCTCAATGTATTCATAATTTCATAACCTTTTCATTACCAGGAGAAATAAATAATTTGTCCTACATCATCGATACATAATTAGGGACCTCAAGCAGTCAGGACGGCAACGCCACGGAAGACATCGATTAAAAAATGAGTCAGTTCTACTTTTAGTTAAAATTTCGAAAATGGCTGCATGTGTTTACCACCTCACATGGTGCCAGACCTCAAACTCAACATAACGCATAAAAGTAGCGTTGAGTTCCAAATGTAAATTAAAATCATTTGCTGCCGCGGTTTCGCTTCGCAGACGACGAAAATTTTGTTGATTTCACGTTGTTGTTTTGCAAAGGACGGCTACGAAATGTACAAAGTTTTAAAGCGCACGTGCTGGGCTATTGTTCTGCCAATTAGAACTATTGTTTTTCCAAGTTCTCGTTGCCGTAGCCGTCGTGGTTTGCTTAAAGTCCCTATTATCAGACAGAAAGGTAGTGAGGAGAAAGAAATACAACTACTACATCCTACTAGCGTGATTTGATTCCACATTCTCAGAGCTGCAATTTTAAGGAATGTATGGCAAACAACAGGCACAATTCATTTAACAATGATTTCTTAGCCCTCTTCTGTTTTGCTGTTCTGTTGTGCTGGAAGTTTCAACCACACATAACCAGCAACCTTGCAGAATTAAATTTAAAGTACCTTATTTGTTTTGTGGCAAAGTATTGAACAAAGACAAACAATGAGACCTGTTTACGCTTCACACAGTGAGAAGAGAAGCACATGTATATTGCTGATTCACAGTTTTATACAAAACCGGAAATACATCGCGTATCTCATAACATCTCCCTTTCTTTTTTCTTTTTAAAGGTAAACCAAAACCGAACGTGAAAGAAAAATTAAAATATATATAGAAAAACAGTGTCCAATGTTCTGTTCCATTTTCAGTGTCCTTACTCAGCTTAAATGCTTCAACATAATCCTTGAATCTCACTGGTGTCTGAACTGTTCTCGTATAGGTGAAGGTGAAGTTGAAGTTGAAGTTGAAGTTCATTTATTTGTTTTAGCAGGTTGATTAATTTGGCAGCTGTAATAGCTGATGTGGACCTGCTGTCCTAACCCACCCATCCCACCCCAGGGGAGGACATCCATCACACAGTAATCTCGTGTGTGGGAAATTAACGTCTCCTGCCCCAACCCTGCAGGAGACGGGACCTCCATTTATTCGTCCCTATCCGAGAAGACTAGAATATCTAACCATTTCTTGATGTTATAGAAAGGTAGCAAATTCTTCTCAATTATTTTAAGACCTTGAGTGTTGGTCCGGCCGGGGCTCGAACCCTCGACCTCCCGCACTACAGTCCAGCGCTCTATCCATTGAGCTAACCGGGAGGCGGTCAGTGGAGGGCTAACCGGGAGGCGGTCGTCCTCAGTGGTGTACTGTAACTCTTGTGCTGGGTATCACTGATTTCTACCGTTGTTTTCACTTCACTGTGATTGTTATCGGTCAATGCTACTTGTCCTCCTGTCTGTACCGGTGCAGGTGTGAATGATTTTGTTTCAGTGACGACTGTCTCATTAGTCTTTGGTGTGTCATACTTTGGTCTCAATGCTTCTCTGTTTTGTCGCACTGTGTCTCCATTGACTTCTACCAAGTATGAGTGGTCCGATAACATCTGAACACATGTACCTGCTTCCCAGATTCTGTTTCGCTGTCCAGCTACTCTGACTCCCTGGTCTATTTCACGCTCTGGTAGTGACTTGCTACCTCGGTCATGATAGCTTTTTGCATTCTGCCTCTTGGCCTTCAATTTCCCTTTGACACCTTTTTCTATTCTGGGGTACAGAAGATTTGCCGATATGGATAACAGTGTGTGTGTTCTTCGTACCATCAGTCTCTGTGCTGGGCTAGAATTTACACCTTGCGTAGGCGTGTTGTGCGGATCTAACAATGCTAACCAAGGGTCCATGTTGTCCTCGTAGGCTTTCTTGAAAATCTTCTTTGCTATATTCACTTCCGCTTCGGCCTTGCCGCTGGATTTGGCATGCCTGGGTGATGATGTCACGTGTTTAAACTCCCATCCCCTGGAAAATTCAGTGAACTCTCGGTAGGTGTACTGCGGCCCGTTGTCGGTGACAAGTACATCAGGTATGCCGTAACGGCTGAACTGCTCTTTGAGAAACTGCATGATGTAGATTGCGGTTGTGCCCTTTAATTCACCAACTTCTACGAAATCTGAGTAGCTGTCTGTGAGCACAATAAATTCGATCAGCCTTAGAGTTAAGGGTTAACAAGTCTGAGGAAACTCCGCTCCATGGTCGATCGGGTATTTGGTGTGTCTGCATTGGCTGCTTCGATTCACATTCTTTGCTTGGAACGCAGCACATATCTTACATTCCAGTTCATAGAGGGCCAGAAGACTATATCCTTCGTTCTTCGGATACATGCTTCAATTCCTTGGTGACTAGAACGAGCTCTGGTGGTCAGCTCTGTTCTCATGGCTTTGGTGATGACGACTCGCTGATTTTTGAAGATGGTGATGTCAATTCCTCTCTGTAATTCCCGTATTCTCTAATGTGGACAGGTAAATCTTCTCTCTTCTCTGGTCAACCAATCAGAATGGTGGATTTGAGAGTCTGCAGGACAGGGTCTTGTACTGTAGCCTTTTGAAGCTGTCACAGTCTCTCGCTGCTGATCTTGATTGTGTCGATAGGCCTCATCGCTTCCAATTCCAGAGCGAAAACTTTAAATTCTTCTTCGTTTGGAGGAGTGTCTTTCAGGAAGGCCCTGGATAAGTGGTCAGCCACGAATAGCTGTGATCCTGGTTTGTAGATTACTTCAAGGTTAAATCTCTGAATTCGAAGCATCATTCAGTTGGAGACGACATGGCGCGTGCGGAAGCGGTTTTTTGAAGATAGACTGTGGTGGTTTATGATCTGACTCTGTGGTGACTTTCTCTCTTTTTGTGACTGTATTGTGAGAACTTCTGGAAGCCAAACAGAAGAGTATTTCTTCTAACGTAGGCATCTGGGCCAGATGCCTACGTTAGAAGAAATACTCTTCTGTTTGGCTGTTTTGGACCTCTGAATCGCCGTGTTTAAGTCTCCGGGGTCAAGACAGATTCTTATCTTTCCTGGCCTTGTAACTACAACCATGCTGCTAATCTGTGAAGTGGATTCAGCCACCATTTTTATGATGCCTTTCCTCTCCGACTCTGCGATCTTCTCCTTCACCTCTTTCTGCAGAGTCATTAGTATACTTCTCGGTGCGTGTTGTACTGGGGGTTAGTTTGGGTCGATAACGAAACTGCTGGAATCTCCTAGATGACCAAGGCCTTCGAACACATCCTTATATTCGGTCAAGACTTTCTCTCTGGTCAGTGGAGCACTCGACTTTCAGTTACTAATTCTGGACTCACACCGTTTACTTGTACTATGTCTGAGATGGTAAGCTTTAACAGTCTAAGTTTCTCGAAGAATTCAGCGGATAGTAGAGGCCTGTTCGCTGTTTCGAGAACTTGTAAATCCAACTCTTTGGTTGTCTTAGTTTGCTTTATCTTCATTGTGTCTACATCATAGGGTTTCGTGAGGGAACCCCAAACAGACTAAGTTTTACCTTACTACTTCGGAGCTCTGGAAAGTTCGAAGTAAATTTTAAAAACGGAGTTGTCGGAGGGGTCTGTATTTGCGGCGTTTCTGCGGCACCTCCTTCACCGTCGGTCGGCATGTCCTCTGCGTATCATTTTGTCTTGTTTTCAAAACTGTGTTGCCAAACGTACTTTCATCTTCTTAGACCTACGTTTCAACGGCTTCTTGTGATGAGTTACGACGACCTTTGCTGCTTTGAAGACGTTTAATTCTTGTGCTTTCATCCTGACACCATGTTTACGCTTCACATAGTGAACTCGCCATTCTTAAAGAAGCACATGCATACTTTTGATCGACAGTTTTACACAAAACCGGAAATAGATGTATCTTATAACAAGACCCGAGAGGAATTTAGACTCAAACCTTCAAATGCTCAATCAATGAGTCCCAGAGAATTCAGGTGAAGAGTTACGCTATAATACCAGGTCACGTGCGACATGTTTCCCGCACGCTGACAGGATCAGCAATGTCATGAGAGAGAGTCATGTGAAATTGTTGGCAAGTGGAGAATATATATGCTGTGGGTCAAATTTTCTCTTTGGCCGGTTTGAATTTTCTTAAACTGGTTTAAATTTTTTCAAACTGCTGTGAAAATTTCAACCGTTTTGATTGTTTTCTTGCATTTCTAGGTCGACAACACCCCTCTCCATGTTGCTGCAAAAAATGGCCATGATGCAGTACTAGAAGTGTTGCTTAAAAATGTACAAATGAGAACCATCGGAAAACAGACTAAGGTATGTTCAATAAAAAATAACTCTTGTAATAATAATTTAATCATTTACATTTATATAACGCACACCTCTATTTGGATATATTCAGTCGCACTTCACAACATCGTAAGGCAAAATTATGTTAAAAGTAACTAAAAATATAAGGAACTATTAAAACCTACGAACCTATGCACTCGAAGGGAACAGTTACCTAGAAAAAACTAGTTACAACTAGTATTTGAAAGCTAAATTATTAAAAAAAAAAATTAGTTTTGACAGCAAATCGGAAAGCGTCCAATGTCTTTATGTTGCGAATTGGGGAAAGTAATGCATTCCAGAGATAAGGTGCAGCTGACTGGAAGGCACGGTCGCCAAGGGTTGGACGGGTCTTGGTGCTAGGTAACTCGAGTAATTAAGACTCGTTTGACCTAAGAGAGTACCTGGATTGCTTTTTGATGCTAATTAAATCAAGCAAATAATTAGGAGCTAGCCCATATAAGCACTTAAATGTCAAAAGTAAAATCTTAAACTTTATACGGTAACTAATCGGGAGCCAATGAAGATGGAAAAGCAATGGCGTAACATGGCAGTATCTTGGTGATCCAGTGACCAACCGAGCAGTGGAATTCTGTATCCGTTGGAGTTTCATGGTATGTGAATTCGGGAGGCCGTATAGTAGACTTTTACAATAATACGTATGTTGTGAAGATAATAGAATGCAGATGAGAAGTTTCTGTTAATATGACTTAGCATACTGATTTTCGAAACAAACCAGGTTCCTAAGTTTCGAACTTCTCATGATGGAGCAATTTGGGACTCGCCGACCGATAAGATGCTAATGTTACTGACTTTCTGAAGTTGTTGTCGCGTTCCACCCAAAAGACACTCTGTCTTATCCGAATTCAGTTTTAGCTTATCCGTATGCATCCACCGACTAATATCAGCGATACAAGATTCCGTGGCAGTTAATTATAAGGCAGCGATTTCCTCCATGTCATTTCCTGGTCTAAACGCGATCTACAGTTGTGTGTCATCTGCGTAACAATGGGGATCAGGAAGACGTGATTCGACGATCTTAAAAAGCTTGCTGGCGCAGAGAGGAAATAATAATGGTCTTGTGGAACTTGTGCCAAATTTAAGATTGAAGAAGCACATTACCTTGGTAGAGGATTCTAACTTGAAACCTTTTAAGTTAAACAATACATACAACCCACAAACTTAAGTTCACACTAAGTGCAAATTATTGTATGGAGACAGTAGGGAGGGGAGGGGAGGGGAGGGGGGGACGGGAGTAGATGAACTTTTCCTTGAGTTTTCCTCTAAGTACAAGCATCATCAGTAAAACCCCTCAACCTTTAATGTACCCTGAAAGATCACCAAAATGTGCCTGCAATCTGTTTTTTGAAGTAATGTTTTCTGTGCAAGGAAAGCTAATTAGGAGATTTAGAAAGAGTTATAATTTGTAAAGGTGAGATGGAGCCCAAAGCAAAAACCTCTAATTTTTAAGATTACTTGTTCAAAAACATCTTTTGTCAATATTTCATTACAATTACTCATAAAACCAATAGTGTGTTAATATTATTCATTTAATTGAATCAAAATTGTCTGGCAGGATAAATATACAGCTCTGCACCATGCTGTTGGAAGGAATAACGAGAGATGTGTTGCACTTCTAATCGCGAATGGTGCAGGAACCTGTGCTGAGTTAAAAAATGAGGTATGTGTTATGTTCTTGTAGAAGTTCGGAGTGAGTCTCAACAAACACACACACGCATAATGGCAGGTAAACAACTGAGCTGAACTGTATTTTGAGAAAATATCTGATACATATATCTTATTAACCAAGCGCGAGGGCCGTACTGGGAGAATATCGGCCCGAGGTCTTGACAGTACGGACCAAGCGCAGCGAGGTCCGTACAAAAAAGACCGAGGGCCGATATTCTTCCAGTACGGTCCCGAGCAAGCTTGGTTAATAAGAGATTTAATTTATTATACGACTGAAGTTCAAAGTGACGCAAGTGCGGTATCATTCGGGACCATTCGGGACCATTCGGGACCATTCGGGACCATTCGGGACCATTCGGGACAGTGCCCGGTCCAATACTGAGAGAATATTGACCGGCAATAGAGCATTTTGATTGGTTGATTTTAGTTATTGGCCCTCTGACTGCCCGAGTCGTGTAATAAAAGTAATTACCAACTGATTGGTAAACATAGAAGGAAGTGTAGCTCTCTAACAGTATGGAAATAATAATCCATGTCGGATAAAATATCATAAATCTGCAGCACAGCTTGAGTAATAGTTTATCACGCTATAACTACTTTTGCTTGATAATATAAGCTCTACTTAAGATAGATATGCTGAACATTCTAGAATATTCTATATGATAGGGCTCCAAGTTCAATTTTTCAAAAAGGCGCATTTTGGTGACCTTCAATCATTGTAAAATGATCGCCATAAAAAAAAATTTGGTCGTCTGGAATGTTCTAGGGTACAAGAACAATGCTTCGCGGAAGGTCCAAGATAAACAATGGTCCCAACTTAATTGACCTTTTTGTCACCTATATGTAGTCAGACAGAAAAGTGATAAGTAGAAATAAAAACATCAACTGGCAGTTACATTTCGTATTAACAACAAAGTCTCAGAACTGAAATTTTAAAAATTATTTAACCTTTTCACAAATGACTGAATATCCTGTTCTTCTCTGTCTCCTTTTTTGTCTCACAGCAAGGGCGCACACCATTGGACTTGGCAAATGATTATTCCAACAAAAAAATTAAGGAGTTCCTAAAGTATCCTAATAAAGCAAGAGAGGTCAGTTTTCTCAATTAGCACTGAAACGTTTCTCTTATTTCCTCTCATTGGTGCTAGGTGGTCCCAAGAGGAACTTTGTTGCTCTTTTAGGTCTGGGGCTGAGTCTTCCCTATTCAATTTAATAGCAAGTAAAGCATGAGAGGGGAATGGGGAGAGAGTTGATGATTAGTGGAAAAGAACAAAGACTCTCTCTCTTATCTTCTCCCTACCCATCATACCTTGTATTCCCAAACCGCCTGCATCGAGTTTCCCATTTATGAAGTTGGGTGTAAGTCAAAGTGTAGTGGTGTGGGAAGCAAACTCATTAATATTGTCATTAATGATTCTCTGAAATTCGTTTCAGTTTCTAGGAAGGCAGAATCCGAAAGCGCCGCCGCTAATAGATTGTTCTGTGGAATTAGATGGCTGTAAGTCATTTGCAAAATGTCTGAAAGATTAATCTATTGTTAGGTAGTGTATTGTGCTAAAATGATACCAGAGAGATTTCGTTACACATGTTCATTATAATTGGGACGTGTTCAACATAATTGGTACTTATCAGTGTTAATGGGTATTGCCTGCCATGAAGTGTTAGAGCCAATCAGAATCCGTTTTCTCTTTGGTCTGAAGGGGCAATAATGTTATTGGATAACAGCTTTGGATGAATGCTATTCAGTAACAGGATAACACTGTATAATTGCTTAGTGTTAGCAGCTGATATTAGCTGATCCCACCAATCACATTTACATTAACATATCTGAAAACTTTACACTGATTTAGGAACACAATCTGGTGAGTCTTAAAGGTGGCGACGTCGTTGTGATTCTTCTCGTATACATCTCAGAATTAAGGTGGTCAAACCGTGATACGATCGCTGTCAGCAGGCATCTCGAAACGGAGATTATTTTTTCCACTCAAGTCAAAAAGCATCAGTATCGTGTTTTTGGAGAGTAGTTAGCTATGAAAAATCGAAAGCAAAGTTTGAAATCATTTGTCCAAATTCTATTGAAGATAACGTAGAGCCCAGTGTCACTCGATAGTCTCGATTTTAGATAGGCTAAATTAAAGCACCCAGTTCTAGTGATCTCTCACGAAAAAGAAAGTTGGCTTCGAACTCCGGGGGAGGGAACAGACCAGCGACTGCAAAATTGTCAACCTCTCAGTATGAGCCGATGGTCTCTGCCAAAGAACGTTTAGAAGAATTTAGAGATGAGACTCTAAAGATTGGAGTGAAATGCCAAACACCAGTCCTTAACCCATTTATGTCTACAGGGTTGGTGTAGGAGATGTTAATTTCCCACACACGAGATTATTGTGTGATGGATGTCCTCCCCGGGGTGGGATGGGTGGTTAATAAAGGGGTTAGGTGTCAATTGGAACGAAAGTTCTGTTCCTTTCTCCTGCCATTCCTGTGGCGAATATATTAAACTTAAACTTAAACTTAAACTAACAAGCATGAAGGCCAGCTTAGTGTAAAAAGGCAGATATCTGCTTAAGGAATGCCACGCTATAACTCAACTAGGTGGTGGTCTCTGTAGGAATGTGTGAAGGTCATTTTTTGAGGAGCGGCAGAACTTAAAAGCCCTCTTGTAAAGCAGCGAGGACTTTGCAGTGTATAAACGGTTTATACACTTTTATTTAACAATAACAATAACAATAATTAAAATCCTTATTCCCCTGGCTCCGCAGATAGCAGTGCTAATCGAGGCGGGCCAGGATAATCAGTAAAAGAAGAGGAAAATACACACAATTAAAACTACAGATGAATAAATAGATGGTAAATACGAAAACAAATTAAGTCTACGGATACAACTATGTGGTTAATTCAAGCTGACAGCGCATTATGTTGCGAGTGAATGCATAAGA